ACAGTATTTTTCTAATCTCAATTTCAACCTATTCAGCAACTTTTCACCGAGAACCTTTGTAAATGAGAAGCATATTTGACTTACCAATTTTTAAAAGAAAAACAAATGGTTTCACTGGGGATCGAACCCAGGACCTTCTGCGTGTACAGCAGACGTGATAACCACTACACTATGAAACCTCAGTTTGTGTGTTATTTTGTGGCATACCATCAGAAAAATAGACCTCAACATGGCCAGTATTTATGCACGCACCTTTTGTCAAATACTGGTTATATCAGCATTTTAAAAAACAATGCGTTCTTTACATTTTTACCTGGAGTTCAGCAAATGTTATGTAGTGGTGATGGCCATTAATACATTTTTAGGAATAAGCACATCTGAAGAATCACTGAAATCCACGTGCGCATTGTCAGAGTGAATACATGAGCTTGGAAATTCAAAGTCCCTTTCCTCTTTTTCAATCTTTATTTCAGGATGCTTTGGATAACTTTTATTATTGATTATATTTTTTTATCTCATTCGGTCATTCTTAAAATTGGGAACCATAACCCAAACTTGCAATTTTAATGGAATATAGCAGAAATAGAATGGAAATTCTCTAAACAAAATATATTTCTACAACTTTTTCTTTCCCATTTTAATGAATAATCTACACAGTATTTTTCTAATCTCAATTTCAACCTATTCAGCAACTTTTCATCGAGAACCTTTGTAAATGAGAAGCATATTTGACTTACCAATTTTTAAAAGAAAACCAATGGTTTCACTGGAGATCGAACCCAGGACCTTCTGCGTGTAAAGCAGACGTGATAACCACTACACTATGAAACCTCTTTTGATGTGTCATTTATTGGCATACCATCAGAAAAATAGACCTCAACATGGCCAGTATTTATGCACGGACCTTTTGTCAAATACTGGTTATATCAGCATTAGTGATGTCGCGAACCCAAAATTTTCGGTTCGCGAACATCGAACGCGAACTTCCGCAAATGTTCGCGAACCGGCAATCCACCATAGACTTCCATGGGCAGGCGAATTTTAAAACACACAGGGACTCTTTCTGGCCACAATAGGGATGGAAAAGTTGTTTCAAGGGGACTAACACCTGGACTGTGGCATGCCGGAGGGGGATCCATGGCAAAACTCCCATGGAAAATTACACAGTTGATACAGAGTCTGGTTTTAATCCATAAAGGGCAGAAATCACCTAACATTCCTAAATCACAATCACTATGGATTGACACCTGACATATGACATGTTGACACCTTGACATATGGATTGACACCTGTCCTCAGAGCCCCTGATGCACACGGACACAGAGCAGAATAGAGCCTGGTCCCCCTACATAGGGTCACTTGGCAGATATGGATTGACACCTGTCCTAAGGATCCCTGATACACACTGACACAGAGCAGAATAGGGACTGTTCCTCCTACATAGGGTCACTTGGCAGATATGGATTGACACCTGTCCTCAGAGACCATGATACACACCGACACAGAGCAGAATAGGGACTGTTCCCCCTACATCGGGTCACTTGGCAGATATGGATTGACACCTTGTTACAAACTGCTATTTGTAACGGGCCCTTTAAATGGCAAATTGCCCTGCTTCCCTGGGTTGTGGAGAAGCCTACTTGCCAGCCTCCTCCCGCATCACTATGGCCCCTGGGAGATTGTGAAAATGTATGCACTTTTATTTGGTGTGTATGGCCCTTTAAGACTGTCGGTGGGCATATTGGGGCTTATGGACTCTTTATGTGACTGGTGCTGGCCCTTAAACACCTTTTTTGGGACATCAGGAAGATTGGGACACTGCCCCTTTAAGGCCGTGTCCCCAGACTTGTTGGGGACACGGCCCCTTTTTAAGACGGTGTCCCCTGTGTCCCCAGACCTGGTGCAAACCCTTTGTGCCTGCCTGGCTAATTCCCACTTGGTTCAGTAAATGGGCTTACTGGAACCAAGTACCACACAGGCAGACCACCCAGAAGTGGAAGTGTGCAGGCAATTTACCTCCCAGAAGCTGCGGTTAACCGCAGCTTAATTGACAATGCTGGGAGGTCTTTGTTCGTTTGCCGAACACGTGGCGGCGGCCATCTTTGATCATTCGACGAAGTCAGCGGTATGTGTAGCCAAATTCATGGAACTAAAATCGGCTACACATTTCCGAGAACACCGCTGAGCTCTACCTTCTCCCCTACTGGTTTTACAGCTGCAGAGACTAAGTCCCATTCGGCAGATATGGATTGACACCTGTCCTAAGGATCCCTGATACACACCTACTTGGATGGTATAGACATTTTTAGCTGCTCCTGGCCCGAACACCTGACCCACATAGGAGCCGTAATAGACCGGATTAGGGAGTCCGGACTGACCCTAAAGCCCAGTAAGTGCCATATAGGAACACGTAAAAACCTCCCCAAGATAGTAGTATGGGCCCCAGAGTGTGAACGGGCCTTCCAACAGCTCAAGACGGCGCTCATTAAATCACCTGTACTTTCTGCTCCTGATCCAACTAAACACTTTCGCGTCCATACAGACGCTTCTATGTTTGGATTGGGAGCAGTACTGAGCCAAGTCGGAGCAGATGGTGGCGAAGCAAACCCGGGCTTATCTAAGTCAGAACTTTTGCACAGCGAAGTATAGCATTCACTGCCATTGAAAAAGGAGTGCATGGCGTGGTGTGGCCCTCAAAAAAGCTGCAACCTACTCTGTATGGACAAATCACATCTACCACAGATCACAACAAATTTGTGGCACTGCTGCAATCTAATGTGCCAAAATTGTAGATAGGAGTGGTGTGTTTAGTACTATTGTTATCAGTTTAATCACTGCTACGCCCCCTATCCGCTGATGTGGAGCAAGACGCAGCAGCAGAAGAGGACTAAGCCGAGGAGGTTATGGAAGAGGATGGAGTAGGAGGAGTAGAGGAGGTGGCAGCGTACTGGCAGAGTACACGCCGTAGGGCTGACACACCTGCTTGAAGATAACTAACTGCTATTCAATCTATAATTGATGTTTGTTTCACAGGCAGAAAGTGCCCTAAAACATGGCGGCTTGAACCCTAGTTGGTGGTGGATAAGTCACGCAAGTCAACCGGCATTCAGAGCTAAAATACAGCAGCGTGTGGACCATTTTTAGCCCAAGGCAGCTCATCTCATCAGGCCTTTTTAATCTAATGTATCGCCCAGTGTCAGTCCCTTCGGGATCCATCCCTCATTCATCTTAATAAAGGTGAGGTAATCTATACTTTTTTGACCTAGGCGACTTCTCTTCTCAGTGACAATACCTCCTGCTGCACTGAAGGTCCTTTCTGACAGGACACTTGAAGCGGGGCAGGCCAGAAGTTCTATCGCAAATTGGGATAGCTCAGGCCACAGGTCAAGCCTGCACACCCAGTAGTCAAGGGGTTCATCGCTCCTCAGAGTGTCGATATCTGCAGTTAAGGCGAGGTAGTCTGCTACCTGTCGGTCGAGTCGCTCTCTGAGGGTGGATCCCGAAGGGCTGTGGCGATGCGTAGGACTTAAAAAGGTCCGCATGTCCTCCATCAACAACACGTCTCTAAAGCGTCCTGTCCTTGCCGGCATGGTCATGGGAGGAGGAGGATGACTTCCACCTCTCCCCCTGTTAGATTCCCGTTGTGCTGTGACATCACCCTTATACGCTGTGTAAAGCATACTTTTCAATTTATTTTGCAAATGCTGCATCCTTTCATACTTGTTGTAATTCGGTAACATTTCCGCCACTTTCTGCTTATACCGGGAGTTGTAGGATATGAATATCCATTTTGCTCTATATCCTAACTGTTCAGGTAAGGGTTAATTTGAATCAAGAATAAATTTGGAATTGTATCTCATGTCACAATGACTTATCTATTTACGGGAAATGTTATTGGAACATGATTTTGTTATTTACATGACATGACATGATAAGGATTCTGGAATGACCTTGTTAATTGTCCAAGATTTCGGTATTTGTAATCATCTGGGTTTTATCCAATATGCATACATTATGTAACATCGAATTATAACTAAAAACAGATGTTTATAACAATGTCATTGTCACGCCCATATGCTCATTTTTCCCCCTCCCATCCTGCTATGAAAATGGGGTATAAATATAACTGACGTATGAATACAATTTGAATTGGTTATTGAACACGTCTCTGCTATTCATTTCCAATTTCCAGAGCTCTGTATGAGTTGGCAAATATCCATCATCCACAAAGGGCCAGGCTGATTTTATCCCCAACAAACTGGTGTCAGACGTTTTTGGGTGCAATTGGGAACGGAGTAGCAGGTAAGAGGGTCTTTAGCCCCTTGGGGACACAACTTCTGGAATTTAAGGGTATCATGACGGAGTATTTCTGTCGTGTGTCCTTAAGGGGTTGGGGACCTTTGCCTGCTTCTGCCATCCTCCCACACATTGCATTTCTTGTTTTAATGGGATTTTTCACTATTTACATTTTTAAAGGGGATTTTCACAGGATAATGTCTTTGGTAGACATGGTATTTTGTTAAGTCTTAGGCAGACTTCTATTACTCCACGGGTTGGAGGATTGCCTTTGGTAGGTAGTAGTAGTTATTGTGCACATTTCCTCTTTGGTAAGAGGTTCACCTTTGGCCAGGTGTTAAAAATAATTTCAAGCCTTTGGTAGGCTGTGATGTCCTGTGATTTACATTTACATATGGGAGACGTCCCTAGATCCCTCTTTGGTAGAGGTTGCCTTTGGTAGGTTATAAAACAGATTTCCAGTCTTTGGTGGACTGTGGTATTTATTTAACGTAGATGTCAATTTTTCAGACTAAAATGGTTATTAAGAAAAAAAAAAAAAAAGGGGGGGGGTTAAAAGGTATGATGGATGTTTGGCATTACTCCGGCTTGCTTATTTATGTGCTATTTTATGATGTGCAACGCTGATTTTAAGCATAAAGTCTTAATTGAGGGAATGTAAAAAGTACATCTAATGGTGATGAGGAATAAGAAAAAAAACGAGGTTATTTAAGGGGGGCTACAAATTCTAGAACTAACATGATTTCTCTGCATGTATGTTTGTTTGCATAATGAGCCCCTTATTTTTATACTTGGTCAAAAGTACTATAAGCCCACTACACTTTTTCATGAGAGTGGGATGTATGATTGTTTATATGATGAGCCCTTTATTTTCATATTGGGACAAAAAGTCACTTCATTCAAAACGTCAAACACCACATTCTTTCTGCCCTGAGTGTTTGTTGCAGAGAATTTATGTTGTAAATTTAGAAGAGAGCAAAATTTATATTTTCAGTGTTCCAACACATGCTTCATATTGTGCTGTAAGCTAACTTGTAGTATTCCAGTACGTCACATGTTGTATGTGCTTTAAATTGTATGTATTCTGTAAATTATTGTATGGGGTTGCTGAGATTTTATTGCTTGTGACCCAAACTGTGAAGAAGTGGGTTTGAAATTTTGGTCATGGAATGTAGGATCAGAAAACCATGGACAAAGGTTTTTACCTGTGTTGATATGACTTTTGGAAACTCAAATTGACCGGTCAAAATTTTGCCATGCCTTTAACATGGAGTAGTATAAATATTTTGAGTCTTTGAGAGTTCTGACAAATGCAGGTGATACCATGTCTGTGTAATCTGGTCCAAATGTTCTATAAGCGTATAAGAGAGAAATTCTATTGACAGGGTACATATGTTGCAACTGGTTAATGCAAGTGTTATACAAATGTTTAAGTCAAACGTGTTATATGGCCGTACGGGATCCCTTCTTTAAAAAAAAAAAGAAAAAATAAACCCTTTGGTACCAGAAATCTTAAATAAATCCAATACAAACTAAAATTGGTATACCTTACAATAATATGTTCTGAATACAGCTGTTAGAAGTTTATTCTGTGTTTATGATGATTGTCATAAATGTTTGTTTTGGTTACTCATTTTGAAGTGCGCAGTTTAATTGTCATGTATGTTAATGGGTATTTTGCTGTGTTATTTTAAATTATATTTGAATAAGTTTGTCTTAGTATTGATACAGATGAAAATGGCAGCGTAATAATCTATTAAATAACTGATTTATTAGAGAATACTAGTCCAAGAGCAATATGAGTTGTAGTCTTAAGAAAGAAAAAAAGAGGGAGTCTGTTTTTGTAAATTTTAGCTGATTTCCAAAATTCTGTTGCAATAATGGACTTCCTGCCAAAATTTGACTTTCCTGTCCAGTTGCCAGGTGCTCTGATCTAATCTTAAAGCAGTACTGCTTGCATTGTTTGCAGACATGCATAATGCACAAACATGAGAACCAAATTATGTCCGTCACATAGTGTGACATTTATTAATTTATTTTGGATTGAGTTAATTGCCTGTCCATGAAT